GACCTTGTATATAAAACAGAGTGGAAAAAGTGGGCATAGGGTTGCAAGTCCACTTTTTTCGACCATAGGAGGTGCAACTCAATAAGCAAACTCAAATGAAATTACTTTCGAACAAAATTTGAAATTTGAACTCAAAGAAAAATGAAATAGGTACCTACCAAATATGAATTGATCAAGGCTAGAATTTGGCAAAAATTCATAGATGAGAATTCTTTCCATTCCTTCCAAGCAGAAACCAAGGAATTTAACCAAATTACGGTGATAGAGCTTGACCAGTAAAAGAACTTCATTCATAAATTCTGTGTCTCCTTGTCTAGAATTACCAGAGAGCCTTTTTACAGCTACATCTTGTTCAATATTCGGAAGTCGGCCCTGTATATAATCCAATGGATACACAATTTCAGTATCTCTAAATGTACAATTAGTGTTCTTTTCTGTTTCATAAGCTTCGTTACCTTGTAAACTGTTCCGAATCCTCCTTGCCCAAGCTTGTTTTCTTCACTGAAGTTATTAGTTGCTGCTTGAACGGTGGCAAAGTCATATTGCCTACACTGCCACTTAATCATTTCATCTTCACCTACCAAAAGCAACACATAGGGATAAGATTAATCACATTCCCCAGCAGAAGGAATGGATTTCAAACATATTTTACTTATTTACCGAATAAAGAAAACATTACTTACTTTCAATAGTTTCCTTTGCCTTTCTTTGTCTTAAAATTATGCAATGCACAAGCAACAGAACGCCAACAATTAAAGCACTTCCACTTACGGAAATGATGATTGTTCTTGTTGAGTAACTTCTGTTGTTTCCTTTTCCTATATAAAAGAAAGAAATTTTTCAAGCACTGCATATTAAATGTAAGGAATTTTTTTACATGTGCCATCCCTTTTATTCTTTAATTTGCATGCATTAAAAAAAATATTTTTAACACCAATGCAATGTGAATATTTCTAATCACACTATTGATAAAATTAAAATAATTTTAATTTTTTTCATAAAAATTAATAAAAAAATGTAATTAATAATGGACTCTTAACTTATGGTTAGGGTTTTTGTTGAAAAAACTCTAATGTAATAACTTCTCCTAATGGTAGTCCAACTTAATTAATACTAACTTTATCTTTGAATCCAAAAAGACAAACTTTATCTTTGAATAATAGACTTATTTTATTTTACTTTCAAATTAAGAATTTGAGGGTGATTTATATTTTTATCTATATATAT